CCCCACGCGAGGTAGTGGAAAATTTTATTTTGTGTCTCATACAACTGACACTAGTTGTATGAGGCAACTTTTTTGTCTTACAGTTTTGTGGACCCAAATTCTGTAGACCCAGAAGTGTAAGATTGGGGTCCACAAATTTGTAAGACAAAAAGTAAGTTGTATGAGACACAAAATAAAACTTCTCCGAGGTAGGAGACCGGTAGTTATATCTTATAACATCACTCAAACTTGAACACTTCAAAGCAAAATGTGAAAAGATCAAAATAACCACCAACTCCCAAAGTTCCCAAACATGGCGGTAACGGACTTTTTCGCCGGCGAAATCGCAACCGAACTCCTAAAACACCTCATAGCCATAGCCCGTAAATCCACCCTCTGCCGGTCAACCGCCGAGCAGCTCATCGTCGACATTAACGGTCTCCTTCCAATCATCCAAGAAATCAAACAAACTGGTGTTGAACTTTCACAGACACGTCAGCGTCAGCTCGATGACTTCTCGAAGATTCTACAAGATGGGTATGAACTCGCCGGAAAAGTTCTCAACTCTGGCCGTTGGAACGTCTACAGGTGTGAATGCTTAAGCTGTTAAAAAGATTACATTTTTAACTACTTATATTATGTGTCAACACGTTCCCTCTTATATGTATGTGATTCTTGTTTATGAGCCAAATACTGATACCTTTTAAATTTGTGATCATTTTATTTAAAAGTTTAAACTGTTAAAAAAAATACATTTTTAACTATTTAATTATATTACACACAACACGTCCCTTAATATGTGTTCGATTCTTTTCTCATGAGCCAAATACTAATACCTGCAGATATGTGTGATCTGTCTTGTCTAAAAGTTTAAAGTGTTAAAAATAATGAATTTTTCATTATTTAATTATATTATGTCTCAATAACAGGAACTTGCAGCTGGCAAGGAAGATGGAGAGGCTGGAGAAAAGAGTAGGGAGGTTCATGCAAGTTACAATGCAAGCTCATGTACTAGCTGATGTTCATCACGTTAGGTTTAATATGGAGCAGAGATTTGATGTTCTTGAGCATAGGCTTAAAGCTATAAAGATTGGAGTTGACGACGGTGCTGGTGGAGGAGGGTGTTTAGGGAAAGCTGTGAAAAGAATGGAAGAGGATGAGAAATGGTTTGAGGATAGTTTTGTAAATTTAGGTGCTGGGATTGAGTTGGGGAAGAGGAAGGTGAAGGAGATGTTAATGGGTAAAGATGATAGAGGTGTGTTTGAGATTTGTGGAATTGGAGGTAGCGGCAAGACCACCTTGGCTAAAGAGATTTGTAAAGATGATCAAGTTAAAAGTAAGTAATTAATCCCAAAAAAAGTTTCTCATTTCCCTTTGTTTAGTCTTTTGTGTTGCTGCTTAAACAGAGTGGAAAAAAGAAGAAAACTTTATTGGCTATCAAATCTAATTTATCAGTTGAATTCTAATACAAATAAGACATTTGATTTTGCATGTACATGACTCAATCCAAGAACAGAAGTTATTGATTAGACTATAGTCTAAAATTTGTCATGTTTTTCCAGGTTATTTCAGGGACAAGATTTTCTTTTTCACTGTTTCTCAATCTCCAAATGTGGAGCAATTGAGGAAAACGATTTGGGAAAAGATATCAGGGTGCAATCTTCACAGTTATGGACGTGCGGAGATTTTGCCCCAGTGGAACCTACAGTACCAATGGAACTCGAACTCTACAGTCCCTGTACTCTTAATTCTTGATGATGTTTGGTCCCTCTCTGTGCTAGAGCCGCTAATTCTCAAAATTCCCGGCTGCAAGATCCTAGTTGTGTCACGCATTAAATTCCCTCCGTCGGTTATTGACAGTGTTTATGATTTAGAGCTATTAAGGGAAGATGAAGCTATGTCCTTATTTTGCCATTTTGCTTTTGGACATAATTCCATTCCGCGTGGTTTCAATCATACGCTTGTCAAAAAGGTATTAGTAATATGTTTTTGGCAGCATATCCTTTTTCTTTGCGAAAACTTCTAGTTATACTTGAGCACTAAGCAAACTAAAGTTTTTTGGATTTTTAGGTTGTGGAGGAATGTGAAGGGCTTCCGTTGGCGCTTAAGGTCATTGGATCTTCATTAAAGGGAAAGCCTGAGATGTTCTGGACAAGTGCGAAAAACAGATTATCACAAAGCCAACCTGTCTGCGAGTCTCATGAACTGCAGTTGCTTGAGCGAATGAAATTGAGTATTGACTGTTTGCCTGATAAGGTGAGAGAGTGTTTCCTCGACTTGGGTGCTTTCCCAGAAGACAAAAGGATTCCTCTTGATGTTCTAATTAACATGTGGGTGGAGCTACATGATATTGATGAGGAAGAGGCTTTTCACATTCTTGTTGAACTTTCAGACAAAAATCTTCTAAATCTAGTGAAAGATGCACGGTAAGAGGAAACTTAAATCTTATGAAAAAACCATTTAATTTTGTTAGAAGGTGATTTGTTATGGAAAAATCAATATGTTGATAGACTTCAATGTGTTGTTCATGTGGTAGAGCTGGAGATATGTATACCAGTTACTATGAGATATCGGTGTCTCAACATGATGTCTTACGAGACCTAGCTATTCATGTGAGCAACCGTGGGGATATAAATCAGAGAAGGCAATTGGTCATGCCAAGAAGAGATACAAGGTTGCCAAAAGAATGGGAAAGAAATATGGATGAACCTTTCAACACACGAGTTATCTCTTTGCATACAGGTATTACTGAACCTCGGCCATTACTGATAGCATAATAATGACAGTTAGTCCGTGTAGCCAGGGGCGGATCTAGAAGCCCGTATACAAGTTTAGCTGAACCCTGTAGCTTTTGCTCAAATAATGTATTTGTGTTTAAAAAATTCATTAAATATAAACTTAGAATCTAGTTATTAGCACTTGAAGTAGTCGTTTTGAAATTCAGAACCCATTAAAGTGAAATCCTGTCTCCTCCTCTGTGTGTAGCAGCAAAATTCTCTAATTCCTTCTCTTAACTGCAGATGAAATGAGAGAAATGGACTGGTTCAGAATGGATTGCCCGAAAGCTGAAGTACTGATTCTCAATTTTTCGTCATCTGAGTACTTCCTGCCTCCTTTCCTGGAGAACATGCCGAAGCTAAGGGCATTGATAGTCATAAACTATAGTGCCTCCAATGCAGTTCTTCATAACATGTCTGCCTTCGGTAATTTAACCAACTTGAGAAGCCTTTGGTTTGAGAAGATATCCGTCACTCACTTGTCCGACTCCTCAAGTCCTCTCAATAACTTGCGAAAAATATCACTAATACTTTGTGACATGAAAAACAGCCTAGATGAATCATTTGTAGACCTCCCTGGTTTGTTCCCACAGCTCTCCGAGTTCACAATGGATCATTGCATCAACTTCAATAAGCTGCCATCGAGTATTTGCCAGTTGCATAAGCTCAAAACCCTCGGTATCACTAATTGCGATAGTCTTTATGAACTTCCATCTGATTTAGGTGAATTACAAGCTCTACAAGTTTTAAGGATATATGCCTGCCCGCATCTGAAAAAGCTTCCTCCAGGAATTGGTCATCTGGTTAACTTGAAGTATCTTGACATTTCGCAATGTGTTGGTTTGAGATGTCTCCCTGAGGCTATCGGGTGCTGCAGAAACTTGGAGAAAATTGATATGCGGGAGTGCCCTCAAATCGAGAGTCTGCCAAGCTCTCTGGAATTTCTTGAATCGTTGCGTTGTGTAATTTGCGACAATGAAGTTTTTTGTCAATGGAATGATGTTGAGAAGGCTATCCCGGGTCTTTGTGTACAGGTTGCTGAGGAGTGCTTTACTCTTGATTGGCTTTCTCAGTAGTCAGTTTCCTAATTCTATTTTTCCCCTTGGGGTTTCTTGAGTAAATTTAGTATTTTTTTTTTATTTTTTTTTTTTTGCGCTAGTAGAAGCGCGATGAGGACTGTGTCGGGTGAGTATCTGCAGGTTGCTGAGAAGTGCTCTATTCTTGAGTGATTTCCTCAGTAGTCAGTTTTCCAGTCCTGTATTTTTCCCTTTAATTGGGGGTTCTCTTGTGTAAATAGTATATATTGATATGTAAATAAATAGATGGACTACATCTCAATAGTTGATCTTTGCCTATATTATGCGATAACGCTGGAAACAAGATAACTACATATAACCGTCCATAAGAAGTGAGATTATAAGGCAGGAATAAACGGTGACAGTTTTGTTTATGAGGAAAGGGAGGACTGTAGCAATGAATAAACTGATGACAAAAAACTAAACATGAATCAATTGAGTGCTATCACTGAACAATATAGCTAAAAAGTCATTGAATTCTTGAGAGTCATAATCAACTCTGTACGGATTCATGAACCAAAAAAAAAAAAATGAAAAATGAAGTAAACGTGTGGACCCTCTACTTATCATGATCACTGAAACTGTGAAAGTAAAAGACAATATTTAATATGAAGTTCTTGGAACCAAACACGGAATTAGTAAATCAAATGTGGGGACACTTTGCTAGTATTTCTTCAGCTTCAGTGATTGGAAAAGAAGTGAGGTTTGTTCAAAGAATTTGATAATTTTGCCACCAAAATTTGGTAGTGTTTACATCCGACATATTGCTTTCAACAAATTTCTCGAACCTTGACCATAGACATTGAACGCAAATGTCATTTTTAATGACCACTCTTTTGTGACATCCTTTTCTTAAATCCAACTTCATAGATTTCCCGAGATATTTTTTCACTAAGTTTGTTATAGCATTTATTATCGCTTATCGAGTCTCTGAATAGTATATGAAATATACCGTCTATAGTTGTAGAAACCTCTATAGCAAATAGATCATACTTTCCTGAAGCCAAGGATCTATCGGAAACATCTCTACATTCACATAGTAAGAATAAGGTCTGCGTACACACTAACCTTTCCAAACCCCACTTATGAAATTACACAGGATATATTATTGTTGTAGTTATAAAATTTAGATCCATAAACTAAAGTTTACTCAATAACATGAAAAATATAAACAGAAAGTGGTGAATGCCATGCCATCCAATTGGCTATATGAATCATCAAAACTTGCAGGGCCTCAAAATGCATGATGTTTACAAATTTCATGTGAGAAGAATTGAAACGGAAAAAAAAAGGGCAAAGTTGTGGACTAAAAAGAAATTTTGTCATACACCTTGACAGAGTCATATACATGGATGTATAAGTTTATATCACAGAAACCTACTTGGGATGTACTCATTAATTCTAAGAGGGTAACTATAAAACTCATCATTTCTGCTATCTCCCTTTCTCCTCTGGAAAGGAACCAACCAAGGAACACCTCTATCATCAACCGAGTGTCTCGCTTCAAGCGTGTTGTCTACGAACGTCCCGACAATTGTTGCAACAGTTGGAGGTGAAGAGAAGATTGTGTTTAATACGTCATTGAACTGCAAGAAATATGGGAGAAGTTTAAGTTTCCACCTGTCAATGAGTTAAAGTTCTATGCATCCACAGTAAAAAAGATGTCTACAAAATTAGGTCGCTTATAAGGTAATTACAGGTACATCTTTTATAAGCATTAATTCCTAATCTAGTAAGAGCAGCCCGGTGCATTAAGCTCCCGCTATATGCGAGGTCCCGGGGAAGGCCGAACCACAAGGGTCTATTGTACGCAGCCTTACCCTGCATTACCCTGCATTCTGCAAGATGCTGTTTCCACAGCTCGAACCCGTGAACTTAAACCGTTACGCCAAGGCTCCCTTCTAATTCCTAATCTAGTAAAGATGATAACTGAACTGCTATAATAGGCTAAAATGGAGTGAACATAACTAAATCCATTTTCAATTGCACATCAACAAATCATAACAGGGATGGTGTAAAGTTATGTTTCTTACCCAACCAGCTGGAGTTCTAACAGGTCCATGACCAGCAATATCTGTGTTCATAACAAAGTATTGGGGTATAGATATACCAAGGAATAGAGATATTCCGAGCACGTATATATTCCGCATGGAGTTTTTGTTAGCGAATTGGATGAAGGAAATTCCAATAGCAGCTGCAGAAAAAAATTTCATTCTTTAGTCACCGTTAATAAGACCACCATAAGAACAATAAGGCGAGGGAGAAAAGCACTCACCAACTATACCGTATAAGATGCAGTAGATAGCTGCAAATATGGGCAAAGGAATTGAAGCAAAGAATGCTCCAAATTTTCCTGGACAGTCACAACTGGTGTTAGTATTGTTAGTTGGAAAACATACTTTGGGATGAAGAAAGCAAGGGCAGGGTGGCGGAGAGAGAGAGAGAGAGAGAGAAAGACCCAGACCAAATATAGAGAAGAAGATCATGAAAGCAGTAGAAATTTGAACAACTCTTCTGCTCCCAACACGAGTTAGTCCTAGAAGGCCGACATTTTCGCTGCAGTTATGTATCATCCATAAATTAGATGTGAAGCGCCAAATCATTAAACGAAGAGAGTATCATTGAAAGAAATATCTATCCGTCAGATGGTACTTCTGGATGGATATTTTACTTCTTTAAATCTTATTAAAATACTTTTTTGGGTGATAAATGACTACTCAAAACGGTTTTGCAAGGGGGGGAATTAAAATTTGCAAAGGCCAAGAAAGTCTATGAAGAAATTTATCAACTGAACTAGAAGATGCTTTGCCTTAAATCAGGAGAAAAATTAATCCTTACACAGATGCAGTAGTGCCAACAACAGCACCAAAGAACCCAGCGAAGAGCTGTCCTAGACCCTGGACAAGAAGCAGAGCACAATGAACCACTTTCAAACAACAACAACAACGACCCAGTGAAATCCCACTACTGGGGTCTGGGGAGGGTAGTGTGTACGCAGACCTTACCCCTACCCCGAAGGAGTAGAGAGGCTGTTTCCGAAAGACCCTCGGCTAGTGAACCACTTTCTGATGCTAAAAAATTTATTTGAGGGCTAAAGCAGAAGAAAAACTACTAAATTAAATAGTAAAAAGGCATTGAGTGGATGTAGCACCTGTAGGCCAATGCTTCTACTCACTACATGTGCTGGCGGGGGTGTCGCCCCTGCAAGTCTTGATGCAGCATAAAAAGTTCCTGTTGACTGAAAACAAATATCAGCGGTAAGTATCAAAGAATAATAATGACAACAACTCCAATACTAGAACTCATGCTTCTAAAAGAAAATTCAATTCAAAGACTTGGCGGGGGGATTAAATTTAATCAAAATGACAAGTGAACCTCTGCTGCTGAGACAAGTGCAGCACCCATCATTCCAAAAACACTGCTAGCTCTGAATATGGGAGTCCCCCACTGGAAAGGGTAAGGGACTTTGATCCTACAGGCAACCAAACATACACGTCAGCAGAAGATAGAAGCTGAAGACATTGTCATTATTGTATCCAGCTGAGTACCATGGAGCCGATTGCAAGAGGAACGAACGGTCAATTCGGCAGCTAAGCTCAGTTCGCTCCTTCACATGGTTGTAAGCACCGGCAACAGTAAGAATAGCAGCAAAAGCCCAGATAAGCCCAATGCACAGGAGCAAAGCAAACCTTTCAAGTATAGATTGGGCAACTGGATGAACACGTTGCATATACTGCAAATACATTACAATTTTATAGTAAGTTGAAAGGATTATCACTAGAAAAACTAGTCAATGAATAATATATTACCTGCTGGGAAATGACAAGTAGAATTAACATGGGTAGGCCAATCTCTATACAGTCACCCACCTGATCAAATCATAGGATCATAAATAAAACTGGATGACGTTTATGCAACTCTCGACCAACGAAGCTTTTAAGAATTCGGGATATTACCTGAGGAAAGCCCCTACCAAACAAACCAAGACCTACAACACAGACAAGTGGCGTAATGACAATAGGACTGAAAAACCTGTAGGCAAAAAGAAGGGCATGTGATTCCTCCATCACAGAAAGTAATAAAATGATGAAACACAACTAGAAGACAATCCAAAGACAGAAAGACAATTCCAAGATTCTAAGACAGAACTAATGGTATTTGTAAGAAGCATTTAGAAGCAGAAAACACAACTTACCTTGTAAGATTTCCCCAGGCTTGGCCGTATCCAAGTATTATGTTGATAAAGGAAGACACTATCAACGATCCTTGAATAGCTCTCATAGTGTGCTCGAATCTCTACAAGCAGCAATAAAAGGGTAATGCATCAGAAATATCATCAGCAATTGTACTAAATCTCTACAAGATCCAACATTCAATATCAAAGAATTAATATTAGAGTACTAAAGCTAAGGTGACTATGATGTAAATGAAACCTTGTTTCAAGAGTAATCAATGATCTTAAGAGAAATAAACAAGACCAGAGAAGATGAGCAATCACTCTTCTAAGCAAGTGTTTCTGTGTAATCAAGGAAAAGGGGGACAAGCCTACTAAGGGTTATGAAAAAAAGGAAAAACAGATCCACAAAATATATTATACAAGTAATAGAGATAATACCTACACGGTAAACTTTATTTACCTGATGCTCACTCCTGAAATTACCGTCAGAGAGATCGTTAACGACCGACAGGGCTGATATGATGTAAGCAAATGACGGACCCATCACAGTGGGAAGTCTTGTGCCGAAAAGCGTTTGCAGAAGAGTATTCACTCCTGATGTGAAAAGCAAAGATTGAATAACTCGAGCTTTGTCACCCTACGCACGAAGTTAAAGAGCTCACGATGTCAATATTACATTGAAATGGGATCTCCAATACTCAACAAGGGAAATGCTAGAGATATACCGGACCCCCACCCATCTGAGGTACCAGCACGGTGGCAATCATTACTGTAGTTCCAAGCATAACTATGTAGTGTTGAAATGCCAGCAAAACAGTTTGTGCTGCAAAATGTGGAATCATGCAAATGATTAGAGAAAAAGGACCAATGCTATAATTAGGTTACCGAATCTATAACTCATTTACCGGAGGCGGGAACTTCAAATACTCTACTAAAACCATTCTTTTCCTTTTGGAATTAGTCAGATCTTAAAATAGTTTGGCATATTTCCTTGAAATTCTTAACAAAATAAAAAATACAACTTACAGGAACAAGAAAAAAGAACAAGAACTGCGTTCCGAATAATTATAAGTGAATCAGTGACCCAAGGCCACATCAAATTATCCACGCGAGTTTATAAATTCGATCATAAGTCGTCTAATTTCCGTCAAGTGGGCCATATGCAGCATAAGCAAGGAAACTGCAAACCAGATCTTATTTCTCAATCCGAAACCTTTGTTCTATCAAAATTATATTACTCTAGATGGTAAAATACAAGAATTGTCCTTGAGCTGAACTGCAGGTGATGTTGAGGCAATCTTGCAATGGTTAAGAGGATTAATCGTCTTCAACAGAACCCAATCCACATAATTTCAGTTATCTCATGGAAACTCTCCAGCTCTTTTTGGTTGGAAATTATTTATTGTTCGAATGCAAAGTTTATAGTTATCTTAAGAAGAAGTTCAACATAACTCAGGTCCCTATTGAACAGTTTGATTCTTAGTCTTCAGATGATATACAGCTTCCCCGGGAAAAAAGAGAAGAACTTGCTCCAACTCCATATCAGCAACAAAAGCATTTTTACTCAGAGCAATCTCAACTCCAAACTCTGGAGAAACATGAAGCTTCCTAAAGTAACCATGCTTGATATGATTTTGATTCCTTCACCTGATCGTTGTCATAAAAGCATAACCGTCAAGCACTTCAAATGAGGGGGTCATTGCATTGTCTCGGACACTTCAGAAGTTAAGATGAATATAAAAGTGAATAAATCCTGAATTGGCTTTTCCTTTTGACAAGTGACTGAATTAGAATTCAGCTGAACTTATCTTTTTCTCCCCTCTCATCCTTTCAATTACTCACTTTAATCACCTTAGCTTCGATGAATGCACGCAGTATTGCGCTTGTGTCCATTTCGTTATTCTTTCTTTTTGAAAGGTGGTATTTCCGTCTATCTAATCTTTAGCTCATCTTAAGAGCTCTAATTAGACAAGTATTATTCGTTGTGCCACATTATAAACCGGCAACCTACTTGCATCAGCAAGCGTTGACTGAATCACACAATGTTCAATTCCATTCCCAAAAAACGATCACACATGAAAGAGACTCTTTGTTGAGAACATAGCATTGACTCAGTTAGCAACAATATTGCGCGAGGAAACCTCCAAGTTATGAAGGATTCTAGTGGGTATGTTATTGTTGTATTCTCCAGCTTACTCCACAATTATTTTTCTTAAGCTTTGAAACTTCCCTTGGGATTCTATGACTATCTTGGCTAATATTCATTAGGTGATAGTCTAACTTTACCTCTTTTTCATAATTATCACTGAATAAGAGCAAACAGTGACTAAACTTGCAGAGAATTAGAATCTAATTTGTACCAATTAGACCCAACGAAAAAAGACTACTAAAGAAAAGCTCAACTTTCTCAGACAAAACAACACTTAAAACTCCAAAAGTCAGAAAACTAAAACACAGATATAAAAGATCAATACTTTTACAAAATAGATTCTCGTTCTCCAAAAACGTTCCTTTCAGTAGCAATACTTTCAGATTTTAAAATTCACCCTAACCATAAAAATTACTTAAAAAACAAAACTTTACAAAAAGAGTGCGTCAAATTTTCATCTTTATCTTTTTGGTATGGCACTTTTACTATAAATAGTTAAAATAGAGAATCAGAATACTAACGCCAAGAAGGATTAGAGTGTATGCAGTAGTGAAGCTGAAGGAGTTGCTCCGCAGGGGGGAAAAGTGGTCCTCTAGCAGAACCAAGTGGCATGGGTGGTGGCGCCGCCGCCTGTTGCGGCGGTGGCTGGTGGTTGTGGTTGTGGTTGTGGTTGTGGTCATGATTGTGAGTCTCCCCCATAATTCTTTTTCCTCTTTCTGCTACTCTCTACTTTACAAAAAGACTACAAAAATGGAGTTTAATTAAAGGACACCTTTCTAACTTAGATTTCAAGAATCAGCACCGACATGTGACACTATATAGATTATAGACTAGGAAAAAAAAAAAGGAAAGTACACTGTATATAAACTAGGAAAAAAAAAAAGTTAAAAAATCACTTATTTTAGACGGAAACTAAAATTGAAAATGAAATCTGAGTTTAGTGTGTGTGACTTTAACGAGCATTAATTACTACAGTTTAGTAAATGAAATTTGAATAGCCAGATCAGATTGGGATCAACTTCTACAACATGCTAGACACTCAGATTATAGTTATTTTTATTGGTGTAAAAAATAATTAATACTAATACAGTACTGTATTTTTATTTTTGTGTGTGTGTTTTAATTTTTCTGACAAGGTGAAAGTGAGAGAAGAGTGTAGGGATAAGAGAAAAAAAACAGAGGGCGGAGATAATTTTCAGAAAGGGCCAAAAAGAGGAGGGAAAAAAGATGGTAAGATTACGTAAAACGTAAAACTGGTTAAGGTTTTTTGATATTTTCGAGGAACATAACACATAGCATGGGAGAAGGGATGGGGGGACATCCCACGTGGGTCCACAAATATCAATGCGCTAACTCATAAATACCCCTTGACTCTTCTGTTAATTACAGCTTTGACATTCCTTTTCTCATTGTACTAGAGGGGTAATGGGTACTAAAATATAATTTATCACCAATTAATTTTATTTATTTAGTACTTAACAAATGAAGGCAAGACATAAATTAGAAATGTTATTGAATAGTAGTAATTTACTATTCAATAACAATTCTAACAAAAGTGTTGCAAAGTTTATATTAAATTATTTTTTATATGTTAACTTAGTTGAGTTTTCACTTTTTGCTTGTTAATATTGTAAAGAAAATAATAAGTATTTCTTTTTTCCAAAAAGAATAATTGAGACCGAAATTTGAAAATTGACTTATTCAAATTTTAGCATAGAACTCAAGTATTAATTTTTTTAAAATTTGTTATACAAATTAAAATTGAATAATACATACTATGGATTAAAACTTATATAGCTAAAAACTATTTTAAATGGCTGAAAATATCATATTAATAGATATATATACTCTTAAAAAAATAAGAGGGTCAAATAATTTAGGATAGTAAGAGTAAAAGATAGCTTCTTCCTTTTTAAAAAAAATAAATGGGAAGGGCATAGAGGACGCTTGGTTAAGTTTATAAGCAGGTTAAATTGGCTTATAAATATCTTTGGCATTTTACGTGTTTGGTAAATATTCAAAGTGCTTATAAGCAAAGTACTTATAAGCCAAGTGCTTATAAGCTAAAATCAATCATAATTATAAGTTGATCACCCCTAACTTATGGCTTTCCAGCTTATAAGTACTTTTAGTTTGACCAAGTTTTTTACTAGTTTATTCTTAATAATATGTTTTAATTCCCAAAATCATCTAACTTCCTCTTCATTCCATATTCGTCTTTTCATTCTTTTCTTTACAAAGAATTTTTTAATTTATAATCATTTGTAAGGTTGAGGGTACTTTAGTCATTTAACAAAAGAATAGCTTATCAACATTTTTTTATCAAAAACATCAACGACTTATTATCAGTTTCAGCACGTCTATCCAAATACGTAAATGTCTATTTAAAAAATATTATTTTCAACTCTTAAAAATACTTTTCAGCACTTCAAGCTTATCTGCTATTTCTAATCAGCTAATCCAAACGGACTCATAATACATTAATCTCCGCTGCACTTTCTTAATAAAAGGATCACGGGTTGCATATTATTTTTTTTTTTTAAATATAGTTTGATTATGGAAATATGAAAATGGTGTATGAGGGTGATGGTGTAAGGAAAATATAGGGGGGGCTAGGGGCAATAATTAAAGCCAAAGAAAATGAGAAGAAAACAAACTAACAGCTTGTTGGTTTCAACTTTTTTCCTATAAAGTGTCTGCCATTAGCAAATAAAGATAAGGCAAAAATGTCTAATTCATAACCTTATCATTTCCTTACCCAACTCTTCCATCAAATTCTCATAATACCAATCTTAACAAAATTACACCCTTCCTTCTCTCTATTATCCAATTTTTGATGTGACACAATCATGACATAAATTGGACAGAGAAAAAAGAGAAAAATCAAAGAGAAATAAATTAAACATGGCTCTTCATGGAAGGGCATGAAAGGCAAAAAAAAATGATTTTTGTTATAAAATAAAGACTTTAAAGTAAAGAAAGGGAAGACAAGTAGAGAGAGAGATTTATTATTCAACTTCAAACTGATGTACATAATGAACTGGAATCTCTTCTATTTATAGAAGAAAGGAAGCTGCTGTGTAAGCTGCTACTGCAAGCTGCTGTGTAAGCTGTTGTGTAAGCTGCTACAAGCTGCTGTGTAAGCTACTACTACAAGCTGCTGTGTAAGCTACTACTACAAGCTGCTGTGTAAGCTACTTGTAAGTTGCTTGTAAGTTGCTTTTGTACCAGATATAGATAATCTTCTGCCGGGGGTAATCTTTATCCATAACGGAGTACCGAAATGATAAGCTTCTTCAGGAAGCTTATTTATGACGGAGAACTAAATGAACATCCATAATATAATATATATTTATGACACTCCCCCTTGGATGTTCATTAAAAGATAATGTGCCTCATTAAAAACCTTATAAGGAAAACCCCGTAGGAAAAACCCTTAGTAAGGAAAAAAGAGTGCATCGCGTATTTTACTCCCCCTGATGAAAACCTTGTTTCAAATATTTGAATCTCCGCATTCCAATCTTGTATACCATCTTCTTAAAAAATTGAGTTTGTAGAGAATATTATCCACCACTATTTCAGATCGATTTAAATTATTCTCATCAAACCAAGAAGCTGGTACAAGTCATTTCATTGAGTTCCTTGTAACTTACCTGCATCAGCTGCTTGTAGAAAACTTCAATGGAGTACTAAATGGATAATCTTCTTCAGGAAGATTATCTACAGCGGAGTAATAAATGGACATCCACAAAAATATTTTCAAAGCATTCCTCTTTGGATGTTCATTATTATGTGCCTCGTTAAAACCTTACTAGGAAAAACCTCGTGGAAAAAATCCTAGTCAAGGAAAAAGAGTACACTAATAATATACATTTGCAAGCTGCCTCATTAAAAACCTTACCAGGAAAAACTCAGTGGGAAAAAACCCGAGCAAGGGAAAAAGAGTACAGTGCAGAGACTTGGGTATATCTGGATCAAGGAGTTCATCATCCTCTTCTGGAGGTAAGAATGGATCCTTAATCCGTGTAGGAGAAGAACGTATATCTTGCTAGTAAATT